GACGCTTACCTGGCTCGCGCATGTGTTTGTTTTGGGGATGAATGAAACAACAAGACGGGAAAACTGTGCCAGATTTTGACGACTTCGGAGTGACACTTAATGATCAACTGTCGTTATCAAGAGTTACATGCAACTCTTTAAAGTTAGGAATGTTAAAGTTCATTCGTTAATCATTATTTAAGACAAAATTATGATCGACTGTCTCCAAAAATCAAACTTTTGGCTCATCATGTCAAAATTTGGATTCACTATGTGTATTTTTCGTCATTCCTAAGATGTCCTCTATTTTTTGCTTCTTTTGGCAGAAATGGGCCTCCACAGACGAACACGTGAACGCGGTAATATACTCCCCTTTAAACACGTCATCCGCCATCAAGAATTTACACACACACACACACACACACACACACACACACACACACACAAAGCTGAGGATATAACTGTTTCCAAGCAGCTCTTTGATGGCTGAGTCACTGAACATGTCCTGTATCATATCACGATAAGAAGAACATCAGTTTAAAGGCAGCAGCTGTTTCCCTTTCATCCTCTCTCCCTCTCTCTTTCCTTCTGCATCTCTCCATCCTCCCACTGCTTTCACAATGGTGCGCTAAGCCAGGGAAGATAGGGCAAATCCCTCCTCTGAGCAGAGCAGGCAGGGGAGTGAGAGACGGAGCAAGAGACCGAGGAGCCGCGGAGAGAGAGGACCGAGTGCAAAACACTTCCTCAAACACTCCTCTCTCATCACTCCTTCTCTCCCTCCATTTATCTGAATCCAACCAATCAGCTTGCAGTAAACCTTGGTCTTATGGCTTCACCGTGTGTGTGTGTGTGTGTGTGTGTGTGTGTGTGTGTCCCACCAACCTGTGGTGATGATGTCAGAGAAGATTCCTGCTTCCTAAGCTACTTGCCTGCATGGCTTGTTTCCTTACATCTTGTTTTCGTCCCCTCCCTTCGGTTCCTCACATCCTCACCACCTTGCCTCCTTTCCTCAGGACTTGTGTAGGCTGTACATTTCTGCTCTTCCACCTTTAGTGCAGAGACTGTGGTGAGCTAGCTTCAATTATATTTTTATTTGGAATGATATGATACTTTAATTTATTAAAATACATTAAGGTCACAAGCACTTATAGTCCAGTTTTGACTAGACGTAGGAATAGTTTGACGTTTTGAGAATACGCTTATAAAGTGCCCCAGGAACAAGTCCTAAAACCCAGAAATGAGTTAGCATTTTTGCACTCCTGGACCAATTGTCTTGAAGTCAGTAGGTTTTTGGTTGGATGCCTGAAATAAGGTCTGTGGTTAACACAAGCTCAAGACTTTCACGTTTTGTTCTGCACCATAAAATACATCAGTAAATACCCCACTCGTGATTTTTGAAGTTTAACGTGTCTTAAAAAAGGTGGTTGCTTACAAGTGGCTAAATGAGGCTACAGGATGTCATCACTCTGAACACAGCTTTACAGCCTCATTGTAGAAGGGATGTTGAAGTCATGCAACTGTGGTGTAGTTAGTTTGTAACCTAACGTTAGTGTTTTACTTCTGGCGATTGCATTCAGGCTTCAAAAATCATAAAAGTGGTGCTCATTTGGGAGGATTATCTTGCTGACCAAAACGTTTACAGTATGTATCACAGTTTTTGGTTTGCTACAGAGTTTATTTTCTGTAATAATCCAAAATCCAATGCAGAAATCCCTTAGGCTTTTTGTTGAGGGAGCCACGGCAATGCTAATGTAACCCTCTCTTCTTGACTGTTGATGTTCCCCAGCTCTTCTGGGCTGTGGGTAATAAGCGGGCTACAACAATTGTTTCTTCCTCTTTAATTTTTACCAACACCACGAGACAGTACTAACACATTCCAACTTAAAGGTACAGCAAAGACACTCACTCTGACTCTGTGACTCTAAATTGTCTGCAGGTGTGAATGTGAGTGTGAATGGTTGTCTGTCTCTATGTGTCAGCCCTGTGATAGTCTGGTGACCTGTCCAGGATGTACCCTGCCTCTCACCCAATGTCAGCTGGGATAGGCTCCAGCCCCCCTGTGACTCCTAACAGGATAAGTGGTTGTGGAAAATTAATGAATGAATGAGCTGAATTGTTTTCTTACCAATTGTTAGGTAAGTAAATTAAGGCCGATACCACTCACATGCAGTGTTAGTCTGTTAAATATAAAGCTGGAGACAACAGGTGGGTAGTTTAGTTTACCCTGGCATGAAGACTGAAACTATAACTTTTGTTTTGATTAATCAACTGAAATATAGCATTTTAATTAGTGACCTTCAGAGGTAGGTGGACTGTGTTACCTTCTGAAAGAGCCAGACTAACATTTTCTCGTTTCCACCATCTATGCCAAGCTAAGCTAACTCACTGCTTCATATGTACAGACATGAGAGGTGACATCGATTTTCTCTGCGAGAAAGCAAACAAGCATATTTCACAAGATGTCAAGCTACTGTTTTAAGAGCAGTTCTTAAAATCAAAAAGTGATTCATCAATAGTGAAGCGTGTTATTCAGCTGTAGCCTAATTATCACAGATGTAATTGCTGATGTGAAGAAGTGGCATTTCAGGCGTTCCAGATTAAAATAAATCCAACTGTGATGGATTTTTATAATGATTAGGAACATCAATTTGCGGCTGTACTGTAATCACACACACTGACTGATGCAAAACCTCACTGGCATAGGATTGCACAGCCTAAAGTCTACAGTCTAATAAAACAGGTTTTATTTTAGTCAGAACAATTAAGCATGTTTTACCACGGCTATAGGACCAAGCATGTCAAGATATAAACCTTTCAGACTGACTGCACACTGCAACACAGCTCATCTAATAACTAACACACACCAACACACACATTTGAACATCATAAATGGAGCATTGTCTCCATCTAGTGGATATTTTAGGCTACACACGCGGCACAAGCAGTTAATTTAAAAGTGTGCATTGAAAATAAATTATCACCAAATCATGATTCTAAAAAATATAAATGTGTTTCTTCCTCTGTGGTCCTGTGTCTCGGTGAGCTTGGCTGCCTCAGAGTGTGACTCCCTCTGGGACTATGATGCAGTTTATTAAAGAAAAAACAATATCAAGACGTCAGATCTCCAACAGAAGAAGTGGACAAGTGAAATCAATTATTTAATCTTCATGAGGTGTAAATCTGGTTTTCTTTGAGGCAGCCTGTCTGCTGTCCCCCGAGTCCAAACAGGTGCACTGCTCTGTGTGTGGAGGCAAGATGCTGCCTTCAGGTGTACAGAGGAAAATTGGACAAAACTTAATCCTGAATTGGATGAAGGCATATAAATAGGCATATGGGTTTTTAGACATTGTCACAAATGTTAATGATTTCTTTCTTTTTTCTTTCTTTCTTTCTTTTTTTGTTTTGTGGTTTGCTATTTTGTTATTTGACATGTGCCCTGCACTTGAAAGGTGATGTGTTTTATGAAATATGGGAGCCTTTTATGTCTTATATTGGATTGGATATCGCAACTATTCTTACAAGAGGGTTTATGTAGTGGGGGACTGACATGTCTGCCATCTGTTTTTCTTTCTTCTAGTATAGTTTGTAATTCCTGAGTCTCTTCACCTTTATAGATGTTTGATCTGTTGTATGTTATATTTATTATTTTTCCCTGAGAATTCAATACCCATACTAAAAATAAGTGCACAGGCCCCTCTTGCAGCAGACATTTTGACTTATCATAGTGGGAAAAGCACAGGTGTTACTGATAACACTCTGTTCTGTAAAGTGCTCCAGTGAGAGTGACAGTGGGCCAGCATGCATGACTTTGACCCATTACAACATACCTGGCTATGATTAAATATCCACAAAAGGGAAAAAGATCTAGTATCTCGTATCTTGTATGTCAAAAGTCCTAAGATTCAGTTTTAGTACAGCCGTATATATTTAAGTAATAGCATCTTTATATCTTTTTTTTTTGTCTTTGTGTGTGTGTGTGTGTGTGTGTGTGGGGGGGGTGCCTCTTTTCTTATGTTTCTGGATAAATATCTGTCCTCTTACGAATGGAAACCTGACACATTTTTGGAGCTGCTCCTGCACTGTCATTTGAGCATCTGTTAACAAATTTGAACTGCAAGGACTATAATTTATGATGAAACAGACTTGTACATGACTTTATATAAGTTAATAAGGGACTAATTATTCTTAGATACTAACTTTATTGATTATAAACAGTTTTTAAATTCTTTTTCGGGACAAATTAAAGAGGATTTACTGCTTTTCCATTCACGTTTATGAATATATTTACCCATAATGATGATAATGTTTATCATGTTTGACAACTTCCTTGTGAAAAGAAGTGGTCAAATTACGATTAAACACTTTTTTAAAAAACTTTTTTTTGAATTTGAATTTTATGTATTTATTTTCCTGTTAATTTTGTACATGTTTTTTTTTTAAATTATTAATTCTTAGCCTTATGTTGCTGTACAGGAAGGTTGAAATATTGAAAGAAGAAAACGTGGTTACAAACCTTGAATATGAAATGGAATCATAGATATTTTTGTATGACCCCAAAATTCCGATAACATACTAACATACTTAAGTTCAAACCTGCCCTGTAATTGTTGTTATCTTTTAATATTTATCATTGTATATTAATAATAGTTTATTATGCTGATGTATCACAGGGTCACACACCTATTCACATAATTTCTCACTTAAAAAAATATAGAAATAAATGTCACCAGTACATGAGCTTTGTAATGAGTAAGATACATAATATGATATGGCAATAAAAAGTATTTTTAAAAGATTAAATCAGCTATGTAATAAAACTCTACATTAAATCAAAATGGTTTCCGGTTCTTTTATTTAAAATCACAATAATAATAATTTCAAAATTAAACCTTTAACAACAGCGGCTGGACAAACATTGTTTATAATTTTAATGATACAAGACATAAGTGCGTTTGCAGTCATCACTTTGATGCTTGAAATTCTGAGTGTGCGGGGGTGACCTGAACGCAGCATCAGATGGAGCTCGCGCTGTGCTGACGAGCCGTTGCTTGTGGAAACAGCTGGTGGTTTCTGTCAGGGAGCACTCTCCGGGCTCACAGCGCCGTTAGCCGGGATAAAAGTTCACATTAGACCCGAAACTGACTGAGGGCGCTTTGCTTTGAGTGTCTGCCGCTGTTCCACCAGACGACGGGACATGTCATCCCGTGAACGCCACTTTAACCGGCAGTTGGTAATTGACGACCTAACAGTTTGTTAGCCGCAGACCCGTGACGCTCGACGCAACCGGCGGCTAACGGCAGCTAGCAAGCTAACTTTGTTACTCCCATTGCAACTGACGATACAGGTGTTCTGTCACCGCCGGCAAACTGTCAGCTGTCGGCTCCCTGGCAGCGTGGGGCGAGGTTTTCTGCTTATTTTCAGCATGACTCATGTTCATTATAAATTCTCCTCCAAACTCAGCTACGACACGGTGGTGTTTGACGGCCCGCACATCACGCTGAGGGATCTGAAGAGGCAGATTATGGGCAGGGAGAAGCTGCGAGCCGGGGACTGCGACCTGCAGATCACTAACGCACAGAGCAAAGAAGGTAATAAAAACCATATGTTATGGACTGATAGGGTGTGTTTATCCTGACAGTTTGAACTTTGGAAGAAAGCACGTGGTCCGTGTTTGACAGCTGTGTTGGGACAGAGGGTTGCGTCACCTGTTTCAGCTTGACGGGGGTCCAGAAAAGTCAAGCAAGAACAAAAGGGGTCTAATGAATGGGCCACATTCCTGCTGCATGCACGCCTCATGCCTGTAATTGAACGGCCTGGTGGTGGTGGTGGATCAGCCCGGTCAGTGCCATGCATGTGAAAGTGCCAAGAGACACATGGGATAAATATAGCAAAGGTAGGGTAGGAGCACAGCCCAGTCATGACCATAAGATTTAAGCCTAGCCAGACACACACACATAAATGAAAATCATCACTATATGAATCATCAGTGATGATAATTTGCTGCAGTGTAGGTGCAGTCACTAAATACACAGAAGGCAGAAGAGAAAATATGACAGACAAAACCTGATATGCAGCTATGACTGATGGTATCGCCTCAGAGAAGTTTCAGTATCCTGCAGATAAACTCTGAAACCCATCATACTCTCAGAAATGTGCTTCCACTGAAAGCACAACCCACCCAAATATTTACATACAACTCCAGCTGTAAGAGTTTACAGAAAGTTTACAATCAGGTAATTTAAAAAAACGATTTAATAGATACATGATAGGACGGATTAGTGGATTCAGACTTTTCAGGCTTCTTTAATCAGATGTGAGTCTGACGACAGTGCTGTGTCATGCAGTATTGTGGTTTCCTGACGACCACACTGCAGGATACAAAGAGTGTCAATATGTTCCTTAACTTTAGTGTGACTCACAGTTCAGCAGTTCAGAATGAGAAGTGGAAATGATTCGTAACAGTTACTCCGACTAGAAGAATAGAGAATTACAATAAGTAAGAATAAGAGTATGAAATAAAAGTGTGTAAATATAAGGCAATAAATGAAATTAAAGCGATGAACGGGCCCTCGCAGTCCACGCGCGTCAGGGCATGCTGCCGTTGGGGGGCGTGCACCTAGATGTCTTGTCAGCTGTAATAAATAAAAAAATAAACGTTATCTCTTACTTACATTTCCAGTATACAGGTAGGCACCCAACCCACGTATGTATTTTTCCAAAAAGTAGAAGCTGAATACATGCCCAATAGTTCAAGGTCTTCTGACTCTTAAAAAGTTGACATGGTGTCTCTAGCTCAAAGTATGAGGGACAAGAAGAGGTTGAAAGTCGATGAGTTTTGAAGAGGATTTGAAGATTTTCCAATTTACTTCCATTCACACTAATTAGACTGCCACCAGAGCGCCACCTATTGGCCGATTTGCACCGAATTTTGCACAAACCCTCATCGGGCCATGGAACACAATTAGCAAAAGTGTTGTGGTAATCAGACTGTATTTGGTCAAGATATGAAAGACTGTCTGTTTTGAACACAATGTGGAGGAATTTGTTGTTTTATATTTTGGCCATTTTTGGACGATCAAAATTCTTTTAATAACTTTTTGTCAGGAGGGTTGACAGATGCTTCATGCAAAGTTTGGTGCAAATCGGACAAATCGCCTAGGAGGAGTTCAAAAAAGTATGTTTTTCATTTGTCGCGATTTAGGGAATGGAAAGTTACCGCGAAAGTGGGCGTGGCTTACACCACACAATTCAGCGGAATTCAGAGAACACATAAATAGAAGGTTTAACAATGTGCGACATATTATGTGGGAGTTATTAGCCAAAAACGCTTTTGCATTGAAATTATCTTTACCTGCTGGTCATTTTTGGTGTGTGAGTTACAGGGGCCAGTCTATACCACCCCTATCAATTTTATTTCCATGAGTGTTATGGTGTTGGCACAGTGCCAAATATTAAATTAGACGGCCACCAGAGCGCCACCTAGTGGCTGATCGGTAAGTTCTTCTTCAGATATCCTCAGGAGGGCATTGACAATAATTATATTAAGTTTTTTGTTAATCTTCCCAACCGATGTTTAGATATTAAATACTTTAATTTAAATTGTTCCACCTTTTGGTCATCTCCTTATATTTTGCACAGAGCCTCAGGGGCTCATGTGGAAGTTGTAATTTTAGTTTCATGTCATTCGGATACACCAATGTGGATATATGCAGCACTTCCTGTTTAGAACGAAATCTGCAGGAAGTTGCTATTTAATAACTTGAGTATTGTTTGGAATATCGAAATTCTTTTAATAACTTTTTGTCGGGAGGGTCCTCAGATGCTGTGTGCAAAGTTTCATGCCAATCGGTGAAATTGCCTGGGAGGAGTTCGAAAAAGTAGGTTTGCAACATTTTGCGAATTTGCAAAAAAAAAACGGTAGGCGGAAATGGGCGTGGCCTATACTACAAGATTCAGCACAAAGTATATGGGAGTTATGAGCCAAAACGCACTTTCCTTAATAATAGCGCCACCTAGTGGTGGAGGACAATAGATTATAAAATTTTTCGCCAGGTGTGACTTATATTCCAAGTTTGGTGAGTTTTGGGGTATGTTCAGGCAGTGAAAAATGCGATCATATGGGTGGAAGAAAAAAAAAAAAAAATATATATATATATATATATATAATCGGGAGAAAAACAATAGGGACCTCGCAGGTCTCCTGCTTGGGCCCTAATAAAACAGAAATGAAATGTGTGTTAACATAGAAATAAAGTGTGTGTTATGCTACTGTGTTTAACGCTAGTACTTAAGATATAAAAATTGGTGAGTTTTATATCTTATATTTTGTATATTTACTCAAAAATGGTACTGTAGTACTTGAGTATTTCCATTTTATGCTACTCCATACTTCTACTCATTTCAGAGGTAAATAAGTAGTATACTTTTTATTCCACTACCTTTATTTTAGGGATGCATTATATTGGATTTTTTTTTTGCCGATATGTAACGTCTCATTTCACTAATAATCAATACCGATATCGATATATCCACTTTTTTCCCCACCTAATTTTAGTGATCATCAAGTCTCTTCTGTAGTGGAATTAACATCAGATTATGCATGCATATTCTTATCGTGATGGCCCACCAGCAGATAGAGACGTGAAATACAATACGTTTCAATGTATACAATATTCATTCATTGTGCAAAATAAGAAAACGCATGTTGGTGGGCCGAGTCTGATAGCTCATTTTAAAGCCGATATCGGCCGATACCAATGACGTGCAGATATTATCGTGCATCCCTACTTCATTTTAAAGCCTTAGGTATTAGCTACTTAGTTTTTGTATCAGTAACTGTAATTTGCAACCCAGCAGTATATAGAGCAATTTAAATGAGTTCCACATTTACCAACTTCAACATCAAAGTGATGAACACATGAATGTATTAATGATTATAATTCAATAATAAATATGACTCTGAAAAGGGCCATTCTACACAATGAGCACTTCTGGTTTTGGTTCTTTAAGTATTTTGTTATTCTAATACTTATGTACTTTTATGTAAGGAAGTTTTTAAATGCAGGACTTTTACTTGTAACAGAGTGTTCATATACTTTAGTATTACTACTTTAACTCAAGTTAAAGATCTGAGTACTTTGTCCAACACTGACACAGAGTAATGTGAGACTGGTGACAGAGGTTACCCAGCTGTGAAATTAATATCAAGTCTTTACTGTCTAGATTTAGCAGATTAACAAAAGGTAGAATTTGTTAATCTAAGGCTGAAACAATATGTCGATAAACTGATTAGTCACTCAACAGAAACTTAACTATTTTAATAACCAATGAATTTTGTAGGTAATTTTTAAATAAGAAATACCAGTAATTCACTGGCTCCGGCCTCTATAATAAGAAAGTGAATATTTTTGGAATTTGAGTGTTTGTCCAGACAAAACAAGCCAACTGAAGACATCACCTTGAGTTTTTGGTCATTTTTATTTTAAGACATTTTTTAGAACAGTAGAGTATTAGTGTTCTGTACGACATCAGTTGCACGTCTGTCCGTCGTGGAAGAGGGATCCCTCCTCATTTGCTCCTCCTGAGGTTTGTACCATTTTTTGGGGGGGAGTTTTTCCTTATCCGCTGTGAGGGTCCTAAGGACAGAGGGATTTCGTATGCTGTAAAGCCCTGTGAGGCTTTATAAATAAAATTGATTGGTTGATAAATATCTGGCAAAATGTACAAATATACAAGATAGAAGTGTTTTCAAGGAGCGAAAGCAAAATCCAGTGCCTAATAGAATCACAATAGCAGTACAACACAAGACGACTAAGAGCAACTCCAGCAGGCTGCCGCCCGAGACTTCAAATGAAAATAATAAGCAGATTGACCGATAATGAAAATAATCGGCGCTTGCAGCAGTAGATTAATTAAGCCAAGACTAAAGACTTGTGTAAAGGCCCAGACGCATCAAACCTACATTCTCACTCCATCTTGACTTCAGCTGTTTGTTTACTTTCCTCAATTCCATTTCTCTTCTCGTGCACTGAGCTGAACTGCCAGTTAGAGTGGTTTAGTTCACCAACGATCTCCACTGTCTCTGCTACAGAAAAGTGGACAAAGGCCAATGAAGGCCAATGGTGTGGGACACACCACCAAGACTAGGGCGAAGCTAGGGCTACAGACGTGCACTGACGGCTCAACATTGACCAACAGTCTGCTGTCGGCTTGATGTGTCATTCTCACATTAACTGCATGTCAGCGAAGGGTGCTAAGTTTCTCAATAACCCTGAAGAAGAGAGATTTTCTTATGGTGTTAAATATTTACCACACAGAAATCATTTTGTGTGAGCTGATCCTTAGACTTTCTCCATCTCTCCCTGTCAGAGTACACAGATGATGAAGGTTTGATCTCCAAAGGCTCCTCTGTCATCATCAGGAGAATCCCAATCATCGGAGCAAAGTCCAGCTCGAGCAGCAAGATCCGCAACGTGTAAGTGTAAATTTTTTGGTCTGGCAGTGTTACAAGTGTTTAAGTAGTAGAACTTTTCACAATAATCTTACTCAGCTTCTGCGTCAGCTTCAGCAGTCGATCATTTTATTGTAAAAATATGAGGAAATGTTGCACAGTTGTGTCATAATAAATCAAAATATGAGCTTATAGTGGATCCCAGGCATCAGCCTCAAAATTGGAACATGTATAGGTAAGAAAACTGTTGTCTAAAATGCATGTACTTGCTTTTGTTCACAGTAAATGTAGATCCTAAGCTCTTAGTAGAATAAAAAGCACAGTGAAGGTTGGAGTTTTTGCTTATATGGACAGTTGTGAGCAGCAGCATGTATTTGCAGGTACAGGATCACAATGGTGATGAAATGACAGAGCTAAACATCCTCATGATGACCCAGTACAAAGGCCTGAATCTTTCAGTTGATGGCCGACAGTTAACAGAACAGGGTTTTTGCGTAACACTTGCATGATCAAATATGCCCACGGGAGAAGAGGAAAGAGTAGAAGTGTGACTCCATGGTGACGTTCACAGGGATTACCCAGATATTAGTCAGGCTTAGACAGGACAGCCAGCAGTGGTGTGGGTTTTATGCCTGGAAAGCAGGAAAAGACCTCACTGGAACAGACTGGCGGTCATGTGATTAGCCCCGTCAGCACCATGCAGACGGGTAGAGAGGAATGAGGACTAAAGAACGCTGGCCACAAGATTAAATGCAGCAAAATCAATTTTCCACCAGCACATGCAGACTGATAGTCACTCAGCTTCAAAGGGCCTCCAAGGAATCTTTAACTTTGAGTCACTTTAAAGGCTTTACATCCTCATCTTACATTAAACTTAACATCAGATTTTAAACTAAAGGACAGATTCACTGTAAACACATTTTGCTAACACTGTTAAAACTGTTGTGTGTGAATTAAGGTGGCATTCATGGCTCAGCTTTATTGTTGGGTTGAGTGTTTGACATTTTGTAGAGTTAATTAGGTCACTAAGAGACACTAAGAGAAACCCATCATAAAAAAAGAGAAGAATAAAGGTGTGTTCAGCTAAAGTAATATAATATTTTCCATATAAACTACAGGTTGGGCAAGAAAATGAAATAAATAACTGTACACTTTGTCAACTTCCAGCCATCCCCTAAATCAAAACCATGTAATTTTACTCTTACCTGTAATGCCATGTATCAGTTTAGACTGTTTTGGTGTGAGTTGCAGAGTGTTGGAGATATCAGCCGTAGAGATGTCTGCTTTCTCTCCAATATGATGGAACTAGATGGCACTCAGCTTGTGGTGCTCAAAGTGCCAAAAAATACATTTGAAAAACTCAACAGCAATGTCTTGACTCACAGCTCAGCAAAACTAGTTTATACTGCCTGTAGGGGAATTCTGGGTCATGTAGGAAATCACCGCCTGAAGTGTTAAACAAGTTTTTCATGATATGTGTGATTCACTTTAAAGATTGTATTGACATTTATATTTTGTACTTTTTCCTTCTTATTTATTGAAGTAAAGTAGTGCCAATAAATTGTTCATATCAGCCCTATTTTTTGTTTCCAGGGTGTTAAAGTATCACGAGCACCTGGTTTAAAAACAATTTATTTTTATGTTTCAGTGAACGATCAGATGTCCAGCTTCCCCACGCCTTTGGAGCCTTCAAAGCAGTACGTAACCAAACCACATCGCACCGCACCTCTTCTCCTGCAGCCCCACTAAACACACACATTGTTAGCATGGCCTAATATCTCAGCATTAGTTGTATGTTGGCGTTAGTATGATTGGATTAAACCAGTGGTTCTTAACCAGGGGTCCTTCAGGGAGTTCCAGGGGTAAGTAAGCCCAATATGAGTGAGAGCAACTATTCTGATCATAGGTTTCACTTCCTCCACTGTTATCACCTGTAATTTAAACTATAGTATTCTGCTCTTAATCATATCTAACAACCAAAATCTTGTCAGATGGAGGTCCCTTAAGCAAAATCTTATGAAATGAGTGTCAATTTTAGGGTCAGTGACAATAAGAAAGTTAAGAACCACTTATTTAAACAAGTGAAACCAGAAGCTAAATCATCGGAAGCCTTTATTTCCTCTGGTTCTCTAAGTTCCTGTTGCAAAGAGGAAGTAGTGTGCTACTCAGGATTTGATTTATAGACAGCTGCTGCTCTGAGATAAATCATATTTTAAAATGATATTACATAAATAAAAAGCAGTATTGGCAGTCAAATCGTGTACAAGAAAAAGAAGTGAGGTTTACACTTAAACCAGCACTGTATGATTAACCATAAGGAAAAGTATATTTGTACATATTATCTTTAATAAAGGCCCTCAGCTGTTAATTTAACAAGTTGCTGTGTCACCAGAGGATCATTCAGTATCTGTCTGTGGGTGGTGGGAGCTGCTCGGGCGGGTCAAACATTATCATGCAGGCCAGCTAGTCAGCTGATAAACCCAACTGTTGTTTAATGAGCTGCTAACAGTCACTGCCCAGTAGGCTCTTCTCCATGAGCTGCTGTAGCATTTGCCCTCAGACATCTTTAAAAACATGGAGATAAATGTATTAGTTTTGTGCTAGTGTAAGTCTAAATTAGTTTAAATGCAGTTTTAATGCAGTATCAGGTTAATGGAATGTTTCCCCTCCCCCAAATGACCTTTTGTATATCATTGACTCACCACATTTTATGTTAGATTTGTCAAGAAAACTTTGTTTTTCATGCATGCCTCATGTGAACAAAGAATCCAAAAATGGTGAGAATTCTTGATGAATTAAAGTCATAAGGGTCAGCGTTTAACAGTGGCAAAAATTTATCAAAACATCTGTTTACAAAATTACATGACTTGGATTATAATCCAACTCTCATTAATTCATTCATATGCTCAGAACTTCCCAAACACATGCATTTTTTTGCTAAAACGTTTTTATTTAAAACCAAACTGAAAATAAAACCTATTTATAGTCTCTTCATAGCCAGACCCCATTGACAGAAACAGTAATTTTACCTCACTGAACACAGGAGCTGCTGGTTTACCACTGCCTCGATCAGTTAATTTCTTTGTGTTACTGTGAGATTTGGGTGTTTTAAAGGGATAGTTCGACATTTTGGCAAATTCGCCTTTTGCCGTAATCTCTATAGTCATATGAGTAGGTACATTACCTTTAATCGGAGTCATTTGATGGTTTATTTTGAGGGAGAGAGGGACCTGTACCGTTTACCTCCATTTCAGCGGGCAGCTCTGCCACACCGATCTCAGAACAGCACGCACTGACAATTAAAGGTAATGTACCTACTCATATGACTATAGGGATTACGGCAATAGGCGAATTTGCCAAAATGTCGAACTATCCCTTTAACAGGCTAATTCGGATTCAGCAAATTCACACAATTAGACAAACAAGTTACAGATCGAGGCAGTGGCAGACCAGCAGCTCCTGTGTTCAGCCTTCAGCGAGGTAAAATTACTGGTTTTCTCAATGGAGTCTGGCTTTGAAGAGAGTCTAGATCAGTTTCAGTTTAGGTTTAGTAAGGTTTAGTGAAAATACATGCATTTTGGAAGTACAGAGCATTAGACCGGATAAATGAGACTGCACAAGTTGTTCTTCAAGAATTTAACGTAACACTTGGTGAGTAATTAATATACAACTGATTACTTTTGGGGTGAAGTATTCCTTGAATTGAATCCTGCACATAGTGAAGTGAACAGATGCTCTGGAAATGTATCAATAACACTAATCAAACTCTTCAAATCCAGTAAAGAAATGAATGTCTTAGAGGTCTTCAGACTTTGGAAATGAAACCTATACACTACCTCTGTTAGGGTTTATAATTCAGGCTAGATTTACAGTGTTTCAGCTTTAATGTAGGAGCAAATAAACAGTGCCTCTCTTAAACCCGCTCCTCAGAAACCAAGTGGTGCTGCACTGTTATTTCATGCTGGATTCTTGCAGTGCCAGTCTTGTTTGTTATCTTGTAAACTAACTCAAGCACATCTCAAAAGCTTTCACTTGAATCAGTGTGCACTGACCTGACCTGATTTTCTCTCTGGTTTCTCAGTAGGAGAAGTGTCTGCCATTCCTCTTAGTACTTTGTTGGACTACACAAACTTTTTTTTTCCTTTTGTGTTTTTCTGCCAATAAAGTCGTTTGTATGAAGCTGTCTTATGTATTGATTATGTGTTTGACTTCACTGGAGAGAACAACACAGATACACACACAGATGATACCTCAGATAACACATCTTGGAGATGTGAGTGTCTGTCATCATTGGACATTTCTGATTGATTGTTAAATCCACATTAATTAAACTGCAAAAAAAAAATACATATACTAGAGTCATACTAGAAATTGGACAAGTTGCGATTCAGAGTTGCATTGTCACGAATTTGGAGTACCAGAAAAAGACATTTTTAAAAAGAAAAGTTAAAATCGAAACAGCAGAAGATGAGATGTTCTAACTTTTAGTCCCCAGTGCGCCTCAAGCATTAAAAACACTATATCTTATATTTCCTATAATGCAACTTGACAGTGTCTTTAATCAGATTTGGCTGAGGTTTAATAAAGCCAGACAGGAAGATCTATCATACTGCTGTGAACAATATAATACAGAGCAGTCAGTTTGTACTCCAGCACATTGGACTTTAAATGAAACAATAACTTAGAAGTTTGAAGTGTCAACTTTAAACTTGTGTTCACGATTAAGTGTTATTGTGTGAATATTTTGCTTTTGATAAGGTTTTTCAAATCTTATTTTGTTAAAAATACGTTTGAGGCAGTATAAAGATGAGCATGTGCTGTATTATTTGTGAGTGTTATGTCTAGGTGAATGCTAATGTCAGCGTCCTCACAATGAAAGTGCTAGCATGCTAATGTTTAGTGGGTATAAATTCTACTATGTCGCAGAGATGTGGACTCGAGTCAAAGATTTGATTACTTTAAACTCCACAAAATCAAAAGAGACTTTCCACTTGACTTGGACTTTAACACCAATGACTCGTGACTTCACTTGGATTTGAGCCTTTTGACTAAAATTCTCAATATCTTTCTCCAAAGTATGTTATTTAAAAAGTGTACCCTGAATCAAATTATTTCCCTTCACTTCCCGAATCAACGAAAGTTAACATTAATCTTTTAATTTCAAGTAGACATACAACATACATTATCACTTTTAGTCTTAGAAAATGTCTTCCAAATTTGGGAAGAGAAAATTACAGTGTCAGACGAGTGCTATGAAAGTGCAACATTGACACTACTTTATTAAATGATTAAGTTCAGTCCCACTTTGTTTTAACAAATTAATACACCCTCAAAAAAGCATTCATGATTTTTGTAAATTTAATATTTTATTATTCTGTCGTGTAAATGGCATTACATGTGGTGAAGAGCACATAATGACCTGTTTAAGACTCGAAACTCAAAGTTTAGGACTTGGAACTTGACTCTGGAGTTAAGTGCAGCGACTTGAGGCTTACTTGTGACCTGGTCCCACCCCTGCCACATTCACTCTGTTAGTGTAACCTGATAACATGCTGCTATTTGATAATAAGCACTAAACACAGCTGACACCTCCTCTGAACAGGATGTGATTCCAACAAGCGAGCAAGCAAACGTCAGGTTGTCCTAACCTGCTCTGTGTGTGAGCCAACAGTGCAAGCAATGTGTCACTTATTCAAAAAAAACGCTCGCCCTTGGCTCTGTTTTGGTGGAGCTTTGTGCACCTCCCACCTGTTTTCAGAGCAACAGCAAGCTGTTCCTTTTGCTCGCTCAGGGCTCGATAGGTTATCTGAATGTTGTTGTGTCTGGAAGTATATCTGGACACTTTGTCGTGCTGCAGAGTTCACTTACTGGCTTGCTGCATGTCAAGAAGAGGTGTCAGACTGATAGGAATGTCTTAGTTTTGCAGGTATTTGGTCTAAAGTACTGGACGAATTCTAATTTTGAACAGCTGTCGGTGTTAGGTGAAAAGTCAGAAAATCACCAAAGCCGTCTTTTAGGGACTTTAAATGTTAGTAGAATATTTAATGGCAGTCCGTAGAGATATTTCAGTCCAGACTAAACATGGGCCGAGAGATCAGCATTTCCATCAGTAGAGCCGTGCTGCTAGCATTGCTGAAGAGGTGTCCTCTCTTGTCTGACATGGCGATTTAGCTGTCATGGTTTCCCTTATCTGTTCCAGACTAGTAGAGGAACAAACCAAGGACAGATCCACAAAAACAAGAAAGAATGATAGGAGGCGCCGAGGTAGACGCCAAGATGTTTTATATCCAACAAAACGCTGTCCTGACAGGTGAAAACTCCCAGGGAGCACTATGTTGTTGGCTTCTTCATTTTTAGGAGTTTAAAGGGATGGCAAGTGGCAGGAGGTGCTGAGGCAGTAATCCTCGGAAGAGAACAGACATGCATTATCCACTGTGTATGACTGGATGCTGGTGTAAACTTTTACACCAGCTCATACAGGTATAAAAGTGAAGACATGGCAGCATCGAGTTTAGAAGGACAAATGGTTTTGTATTGGAGCAAAACTTCTTTTCCAGTAGATAGGAGCTCTCAGTTTCTTCCCAAGACATGTAACCTGGAGGCTCTCACGCTTCATCATTCATCCGTAAAACTGATTATGTGTTTATTCTAACAGATGGACGACCAGCACTCTTCCGGTGCCTTACCTTTTATCTCCAAGGTATACCCTGTCTTTTCTATTTTGTTTTCATACATATTTATGCTGAATCATGTGTCAGTTGCAATTAAACACTGATCCTCTTGTTTGACCTGACATCACTGTGTCTGTTGCACACATACGTTCATGTGTGTACATGCAGATGGCTAACTTGGCTGAAGCAGATGTGTCAGAGGAGGATAAGCTCAGCGTTGTGATCAACCAGTCCAACTACGACTCCATGAAGTGAGTTATTGTAATGCAGTCAGAGCTCCTTCTTCATCCCCATGTCTGTCCCCTTAAAACTTCTATCCGTGTCTCTCCTTCTCTCGATTTCCATTAATTTACTCCATCTCTCCTTTCTTTTCCATCATTTTCTTTATTCATCTACCCCCGTCTTAATCTCTGTCTCTTTCTCTAGTTACAACAAAAAGTTTGGTACTCAACTTCCTTCAAGCTACACCTGTTATCGCTGTGGAAATATTGGACACCACATCAGGAACTGTCCCAACAGCGGGGTAAGAGCAGAGTATTTTGCAATCCAGCGTAAACCTCACTTATTTGAAGTGTGTGTCTTTACATTTCTGCTATCCTGTGTGAGTTTGTGTGTGTGTTGAATGCCAACATGACTGTAAGCCTATAGCATTAAATGCAGACGTGTGTGTGTGTTTGACAGCAGGATAAAAACAACGAGCCTCCTGTGAGAATAAAGAAAAGCACAGGCATCCCTCGTTCCTTCATGGTAGAGGTGGACGATCCCAACATGAAGGGAGCCATGCTGACCAACTGTGGACGTTACGCGATTCCTGCCATAGACGCGTGAGTTAAAACCGTCACTTTAATTTTAAAAGTCAATCAATCAATCAATCAATTTTATTTATAAAGCCTAATATCACAAATCACAATTTGCCTCACAGGGCTTTACAGCATACGACATCGTTGTGTCCTTATGACCCTTGCAGTGGATAAGGAAAAACTCCCCAAAAAAACCCCTTTAACGGGGAAAAAAAACGGTAGAAACCTCAGGAAGAGCAACTGAGGAGGGATCCCTCTTCCGGGACGGACAGACGTGCAATAGATGTCGTACAGAACAGATCAGCATAATAAATTAACAGTAATCCGTATGACACAATGAGACAGAGAGAGAGA